TTCGGTGGGTACTTGTTTTTCTTTGGCCTTTCATCCGTGTCCCGAAATCTTTGACGATTGCTCCTGTCGGTTGTCGTTCGACGGACGCTCGACGCACGAAAGCTGGAAAAAATCTGGGCTTTGCACCGTTACCGGTGGAACCGGTTTTGCGGGTCGAGCCTGTAGAGTTCGAGTATCCACGGGGTTCTCTTAATCGGTTTGATTTACAGCGATGAATACGCCGCTGCGACAAATTGCTAGGATCACGATCGAATGCAGCCCCGCAAATCCGCTTTCAAACGTTCACGAACGATCGGGGGTTGGAGGGGGAGAGGGCGAAAGAGGATCGGCGGCGCATCGAATCCGGAGGGCAGAGCGAGAAACGCGAGCTCGAAATCGAGGTTTGGGAGGGGATAGGAGAAAAAAAAAATCGACGAACAACCGCGGCGGCTATGGCGCGGAATCCGACGCATTTTTGACGAGGTATTTTTTTCCCCGGCGATTTTTTCTCTCTTTTTTCGGCGTGTAATGCGAGCACGGAGCCGCGCTTGTTGCATTTTGTTCACGGTCGCGCCTGCAGTTATCACCGGCCGGGTTGCGTATCCGTGCGAAATTGCTTTTCGCGACGCACCGTTGAATAAGGAACTTTTCGCGGTCGATCGAGAGTGGTGGGGAAACGAGACGGAGGACGGAAAAGCGTTAGACTCCGAGTGAAAGTTTTTTATTGCAATTACACGATCGTCTAATTACTTTTTTTTTCTCTCTTTCCAATCTCGGTGCTTTGACGAAATTTCGAGTTTCCGATGGAAAAATGGGAATTGAGTTGTAAAAATGTGATGGGAACGCGTCGTCGCGGCAGAATGGCAACTGGGTTTTATAAATCTTTGCGCGAATCGTTTTACTTTACTTCGTCGAGCTGTGGAATCTGTTTCGAAATTTCGAAGTAGCGGGGAAGAGAAACCAGTGTTTTTCGCGGACCACGCCCGACGTTGAAACACTCGAATTTGTTACGTGCTGTTGAATAATCGCCGCGCATGAAAATACAAATACGGCAGATAAAGTTCATCAATCGGGCTGAAAACTGGATTGAGGCTCAATTTTCGAGTTACACTCGCGGCGAAGAAAGTATTAGAAAACGTTATGTTTTCGTCGAATCATGGTCACTTTCTTCTACCATCTGCACTTTGTTTTCTAAATCAATTTCAATCCGTTTTTGCCAATATAGAATATTAGTTCAGTAAATTCCAAAGTATCTTTGCTTTGCGAGCATATACGCTGTCGGCTCCTACAAAGTTCGTGAAGTCGATTATTTAGCAAATAAAAAAGAAAACAACGCTTACTTGCCAACACAATAATTTATTAAGAATTCGAATATGTAAACATAAAACGAGCTAACAGAAAATGTTCAGTGCGGATTTATAAACGTTGCTATTCGTACAAGTTCTTGAAAATCTGAATCTAATTCTTTAAATCTTGAATTCTGAGCTGGTCCTGTTCGGTCGTTGTTTAAATACAAAAATTCTATCATAGAAGGTGTCTTGATTGGTAAATCGTTGCGAACTCCTTAAATTTAAATAAGTCTCGTAAATTCTGTGTTATTAAATAATTTGTAGGGTTTTAAACCCTCGTACTATTAATATTTAAAAGGAATAAAGGACGCCTCTTAAGCTGTTCGACAATAACAATGTTTGGAAGTCCAAAACGTACGCGTTTTCCGGGGCGAAAGGTTTAATTTCTGAGCTCGTAAATAACCGACGCGCCGGGGGAAAAAGAGCTTCGAGGCCTTCATCGACGAATGGCAAAGGCCAGTCGTGCCGAAATAAGGCCTTTGAATTCGCCCGGGTACGGATATTAAACGGCACGGACGACGAAACCTCCGAAATCCCGAAACTCCATGGCCCGCTGGCAGCAATAATAACAAAATGGGGGGAAAGAGAGAGAGCAGACGCATCGGGATTATGGTCCCGCGACACGCGGAAGCACTTCCGCCAGCCGTGAGCCTTCTTGATTTCGCGGAACGAGCCGTTTGTCGAGTCTCTTCTCGTTTTTCCCCCCCCTTCCCGCGAGTAATGAAAAATTGCGGCCTCGCGCGTTTCCCCCCTCGTCCCTTAACTAAGCCCCGACGAAGTAGTAACATCAGCTTCTCGCGCGACCTCGTATAAAATGCATGTACACACCAGACGTTTATAATTTCACGCTGGAGATGGCTCGGCGAGAGAGGTTGAAAATGGCGGACCAGCGACGTGGAATCGCGACGGATGCGTCCCGTGAAGGTATCCTGGATTACGATACGGTTTGCGTTTACGATGCGGGCGTGACTTTCCCGCTGACTTCGAGATTAATAATTTCTTGCGTGCTCTTTTGCTTTTACGTTTACAGTTTATCCGCGACAGGGCAGGGGAACTCAATTCCAATTAGCCTCGCGTTTCTTCTCAACGACTTCGAGCATTAACTATCCATTCCAGGATAGTTTCCCATAGATCTGCTAACGGTCGATCTATAAACGACTCTCGTTGGTTCTCAGAAAGTTCATGAAGCCGATTATTTAGTAAATAGAAAAGAGAACAACACTTATTTGCCAACACGATAATTTATTAACCCCTTACCGATGTCAGGTTTTACAATCATGAATCATTAAGTCTTATGTACAAAAATCAACACATTTTAATATTCACAAGATATGAGTACTTGTACGAACAAATTGAAACAAAATAGTATACGTTTGAAAAATTATTTGGAATTAAATCGTACATCAAGGGCTTAACAATTCGAATATATAAACATACAAAGAGTTAATAGAAAATGTTCAGTGCGGATATATAAACGGTTCAATTCGTACAAGTTTTTGAAAAGCTGAATTAAATCCTTTAAATCTTGAATTCTGAGTTCGTCCTGTTCAGTTGTTGTTTAAATACAAAAATTCTATTAGGTGTCTTGATTGGCAAATCGGGGTTGGCGCATCCCATATGTCAAGAATGTAGGATTCTCGGAAACGGGGAGGTTAAATAAAATGTGCACGCTGGTATATATATATATATATATATATATGTGTATCTATTAACAACGCGACTTCTCGCACGCAACTCGCCAAGACTCTCAGACGTGAACTCGCGACGATCTGATCTACGCACGGCACGGTGCTCGTCTTAAGAGCGGTGCGATTTCACAATCGACGATTGCCCTAACCGAAAAGGGCGATTGCACGCCGTGTGCAAACCACGCCGTGTGCAAACCACGACGTGTGCAACGCTGAACCGTTAACGGATTCCCAAACATATCGGCGCCGGTCTGTCGCAGCATGACCTGGTCGCCCACACGCACACACGCACACGCACTCACCCCACAAGAATGCAAATGTATACATCAATTTCCTATTGTCGAGTGAGGCAGTGACATGGTAAAGTTGCAAATTCCTTAAATTTAAATAAGTCCGGTAAATTCTGTGGTATTAAGTAATTTGGATGGTCTTGAACCCTCGTACTATTAATATTTGAAAGGAATAAAGAACGCGTCCTAAGCTGTTCGACAATAACAATGTTTGGAAGCCCCAAACAACTATAATTAAATCCTAACAGAAACCTGTATTCTTGATAAAAAAGCAGTGGCTCTCAGTCAAGGAAAATCATTATCCTTTGGGTAACTTTTGTTTATTAAAAGAATTTGACCACGATATTAAGAACCTCTGCTTGGAACATCTTTCGCGTTTAAGTCTCGTTCATCTAGCATTTAAAGGAAGAAGGGATCGGAAATAGAAACTCTGGCAGGGATAAAATTGCACGGTTTCACAAATCTTCTTTCCACGATTTTCGCGCCGGTATCAACGACAACAAGCTCCTCCGGGCTAGAGCTTAGTCCAATTACCGCGACACAGTGGCAGAAAATCTCAAGAAACAAAGGTGGAAATAGGAAAAGACGAGGTCCTGGGAACAGAGTCGCGAAACGCAAGCGTAGGAATTTCTTGGCAAACGATACGCTCGTGCAACCGTGAGCGAAAGAGGAGTCTGTAATACAGGGCAAGTGGACGCTAAGTGGAGAACCAAACATCATGAAAATGGCTGCTGGTGCAGAGGCGATGTTAACCATAACGGTATCGGTATTTATGGATAAGTCGAATGTAATTTGAAACGGCAATTCCAGAGGCGCGAAATTCGTTTACAACACGCGGGAATGTGAACTTTTAACAACGTCGAAGCTATCTAGGATAGCCGCCTCGGGGGTGAACAGAATTTGCCATCGACGATTCGAGAAGTCCGTCTAAATAGTTGGAATAAATTTTGGACATATTTACTTCGATGGAACTGAAATGATAAATAGATGCAACGATATCTGGAAAAAAATGAGGAAGGCGTAAATAATGGACGTTGTTTTGGCGTCACGATATTTTCGTTTTGAATTTCGAGGAAAAACAAAATTACAAAATGTGTCTGGGCGGTGTCGTGTTTGATCGTTGCACGAGATTACACGTACACGCTTGCAAATGTTACATTTCGCGATATTACTACGTGTTCCGTATGCGGGTTGCACCGGCGGATATCCTATCCGTAGTTTATGAGCACTTAAATCTTAAGAATGAAATAGGACGTGACATTTTATGCTTTTATCGTGCAACGAGCGCGGATAGGAATATTTTATTTTCCAATCCAAGTAGCCTCTCCTCCGCATCACCTATCCGTCACCTGTCCAAGTTATGCGTCTCTGTGCCATAATTTACCGCGGTAATATTTTTTACCAATATATTCATGTTTCTCGTACAACGCCGTAAAATTCATATTTCACGGATACCTTTTCATATTTGTGTTACTATTTGTTCAGACAGAGCGCGATCATAAATTATTTGTAGGCTCGCTCCATCATCCGACAGTCGATCTTTTTCAATAAAATCTTGCGCGTTTCGTAGAAAAATTCGTTTACTTGTACAGTGTAAATTTTATACATAATTAACACGATTGAAAATCGTCATTAAGCGTCTCCTGATTGCAATTGGATCCACGAGCAGTATTTAAAACTAATTTTTGTTTCAGAATAAAGAACTCCTGCCAATATTTGCGTGGGCTTGCAAAGGGAATATTTGGTAAGTTATACAAATTTTAATTATCCTCGACATTCTCGCAAAAGATCGCTCGTGCATGAATTTCCTATTCATCATTAATTTAAAACGTTTAAATATTTAATATAATATTCAAAGGATTTAATGAAATTTTTTAAAGGAATTTAAATTCTGTATATCAAAGTACGAAAGATCGTCAAAATCGAAGTGGCAAATATATTGTAGAACACGCAATAAATATTTCGCATGTGCTCTGTACAATGGACGTAGATCGACGGTTTCAGTAATAAATAATATCAAATAGATAAAAAATCGTAACAAAGAATTTTACTTGTCAGGTTTTTCAGTAATTATTGTTACGTTTTCGCGAGATAAAAAACCGAGATTTATATTTATGTACAACCGGTATTTCATTCCATTTTTGTTACCACTTACTTGATTAATGACTCTTTCATAAAAGTGCTCTTATCTCCCATTAAAAGTGTGCTCTTAAAACTGGTGATGTCTTAAGTAGACTAATATTCTGGCGTTTTAAGTATAAAATCTTCGTTTATGAAGATGATACATAAACAACATATTAACGATAATGTCTTGACCAGGTCGCGTAATAATTTCGTCAGCTCTTTACAAGCAACAAAATTCTCTTTATTTGATAAAACTTTGATGAATCTAATAACATCGACAGGATTGATTTTAGGACCTCTGAAGCTTCAGATTCTTTTTTTAACATTCGTAACAATTATTCCTAATTGCTAGTTTGTAGAAATCAGTTTGCGTCTGAGCTTCCCTTTAACGCTCCGACTCTTTTAATATTCACATTCTTAGCGATATAATGATTTCACTTCCAGGATAGTAATCTTCCCCTTATAATTTCCTATTATAAAGCTAAATCCTGTAACGAGGAAAATCCTCTTTCCCTGCTGAGTGCCGCATATTCCACATGGCATGCTGATATTCACCGCGTGCGCTTGGAATTAAGTAGGAATATTATTAAAATATAGATATGGACATTCCGTCGTTCCTAGGACCTCCATCCATTTATAGAATTTCCAACCAAACGCAACCATTTAATACTTTCGCTTCCACGTCTGTTTAAACAAAATATGATTTCAAATTAAAGTCACCCCTAGAATCGCGATAAAACTGTTAAACTTGAAAATCCAATACTTAAAAAGTTATCCTGGCCCCGGAGAACAAAGATTGTCGCCGGGCAAAATTGTTCGTTAATTCGCGGATTCGCGTAAAGCGTTTAGCGTTTCGCCGCCGCGAATGATAAAACCGCCTATTACGTGCCCTCCCGGTGGTTGGCACGGTCGGTTGAATGGGGCCAGAGCCATGATAACAAAACTCGTCTGGACGAGGGATATTAATGCTCGTGCGAAGACGGCTTTAATAAGTCTGCGACGTAATGAAAACCATTCATATAAAAGTTTCCTTCGCGAGGTGACGCTTTAATTGAACGCGGCCGCGAAGAGGTCTCAACGGCAGCCACCAACCCCCCACCTTACTTCTTTCTTATGCCGAGCTGTAACAAGATGTCAGAGATTACCCAACTCGCTTTCCCTCTTTTCCCAACCGCCCAGCCGCCTCGTCGCGTCCTCTTCCCTTTTCCACGGCCGAATCCGGCCATTACTTTTATGCCCCCTCCCCCCTCCTCGTGACTTTCATTAAAAATTTTCTGTTGGTCGAACCGACGGGAGCCGCTTCCTGGGAACGTTTCAATTGATATCGAGCCTACCATTCAATCGGGAACAAAGCGTAGAGAATCGTGGTCGGGAGCTTCATCGGCGAAATCGGGCCGACGGTTTTTCTTCCCTCGACGGGTGGCCGAGGTATTAAAGGATCCGGGCTTTCAGATTGAAGGTGTAAATGCGGGTTTGATGGGAAATTTCTGATGGCCGGCCACCGACAATGAGAGGCGTCCTCGCCCAAAGTACTCCTTCCAAGGGAAATAGACTGGCTGCTCAGCGAGTCGCGTTTGTTGGCCGCATATTGAACCCCTCAAACGCGTGTCTGGGGCCTTCGACTTTCGATCAGGGTTCCTTTCTCCCCCGGGACTCGGCGTGAAATTATGCGATTTCTTTCGCGGCTACGGAAAACGAGAATCGATTTTTGTTTTAAAGTTTCTATTTGGAAGTAGTCTCAAAAGGGGTGAATATTTATTTATTTCCATTCGTGAGATAGTTCTGTTCTCATATAAGTAGGCTCATGTGATAGAATTAATGAAATGGGAGCTTTGTAGAGGGTTGCCTCAACCCCTAAATATTTCTTACATTTTTGCATATTAAGTGTATTTTGTAATGTTTGAGAATTCAAATTTCCCATAAATGTATAGACAAGTGTAAGCTGTTTGCTTGGTGAATCTGATATCTTTAATCATTTTCTAAAAGTCTTGCATTTTACCAAAATATTTTACAGAAATTATACGTTATTCCGTGAAGCAATCTACCTGACGATCCTGCAGATTGTGTAAAACCGAATTTCCATTAACTTGCACTGAAAATTTTTAAAAAATCCCGTGTCAGTCGCGAACGTGATTTTTATTCGCCAGTCCACGGGGAGAGAACCGATACACACTTAAGGTTGCATGGGGGTTAAAATTCACGAGCAGGGTGAACAGTTAAACAGAAATCCAGCCCCGTGACTTACGACAGCGGGTGTCCGTTTCAATTTACTCATCGCGCCGGACGACAGCGACGCTCGGCGTGTTTAATTTCATCGCGGGCAAACGTCGTGCGAGAAAAAGCTGGATAAAACGGCGGCGGACCTTTCTGGTAAATATGTTTACCCTTTGTACGCGGCGATCTTTTCACCCCCTGCCGTGTTTTCCATTTTGTTTTCTTTTGCCCCGGTAAACCTACCATTTCTTTATCAGCATTCTACTCGATTCTTCTGGCTGCCCTTTTTTTTCTCATAACCGTGTTTACTATCTCTCTCTCCCCCCCCGCCCTTCCGTGTCCTCCTTTTCTTTGATCATATTTTCCATCCGTTTCGCAGCATTTTTCCTTTGTTCGCCAAATTTCACGCGCTTACGTCGCCCCCCTTTCTTGTATTAATTAATCCTACCGTGTTCTTTCGTTATTTTTGTTTCGCGGAAAATTCTTTCGCTCGCCCACGCTCCCTTCCGTCTGCTCATTAATTAATTTCACATCGTTTTTCCACGTTCTTCGTCCAGCTTCCTCTTGTTTGTCACACTCAGCGACGTCCCTCGCCCTTTTTTCGATCGCCTATTTACCGTGACGACCGGCTGGATCATTAATTTTTCATTGGCCGTCCCGCAGTACGAGCTGCTAATGCCTCGTACCGCGCGCGAAATAAACCAGATTCATCGATTTTTCCGTTCACCGCCCCCATTTGCATTCGTTTTAATGAGCTCGATACAATTACGCAACTTTCGAGGTGGTTTCTGCGTGGTCCAATTCCGCCACGGTGTTGTTCGAGGTTGCTGTTCCGGTGTACAGTGATGATTCTTAAAATGAACGTCGCTCTGGAACTGGTGTGTTCATTTTTCGTACAGCAGAGTCGAATTTTGACACCAACAGACGTTTATGCTAGCTCGTATCGTTTTCTAAATATCGTTTTCACGTTTCATTACGATAGAAATGTTCAACTTACGAATCACGTTCATTTTAAGAATCATTACTGTAGTCTGCCGGTCATAAATATTACGACACTTTGTCAATATTTCGATTATTTTAACTTTGTAAAAAAAAGTCTTCCTGGGGTCATTTTATAAGTTGAACCATCTACTTGTTATATCCACCCCTTAAAAAATCAATGTACAATTCTCTTTGTCACTTTATTCCACTTCGAATATTGATATTGAAATGTTCAACACATTTATTACATTTGTACAAATTGAACCGTTTATTAAAAATAATATAATATAAAAGGAAAGTGTTAATTTGAATAGAAGTGCATATGCGACAGATGCAGTTATTACGAATGGATTTTAATAGACATAGGCATACTGTATCAGTAAGTTCTGAAATATTATGACGTAAGTGTATCGAGTACTGTTGTGGGTTTAGGAGGTTCCTGCGTCGAATTTGCGAATTTCCATGATTGTTCCATTGGCAGTTGTTATTTCGATTTACATAAGGCCGTTCAGTGACTCAGTAATCGTCAGCACTTTCACGCTTTCGGTACATCCGTGAATGCAGTCCCCAATCAGTCGTGTGTTTCGCTGTTGTTTCGCGTGATATGTACACGATACGCCCACTATGGCGTGCTAGTATTTGCCAACGCGCGTTATTCCCTGTGGGACATGTGGCGTACTTGTGTATCTCTGTGTGGCGTGTTCCGGAATTAATAAAGCATCGGCTGTGAACGTTTTCTTCGTCAAATTTGTATTTTCGATTAAACGTCGAATACGCTGCTGTTCGATAATTTTCTTTATTTAAAATATTGCATCAGTTCTTTATAGAAAAATGGGTAAATAACAAACAACGTAGGGTTTTGATTTTAATTATCTTTCGGTCCGCTATCCGGAACACCTCGTACAGTATAAAGTTACAGATTTATGCTATCTCATAAAACAACAGACTACCCGTCGTTTATTTTATAACGAATTAACAGGCAAGTCTGAACTGTGAATATTAAATTCCAAGCATGCGGGGCTTTTGCGTCTTGAAATATTTAAGTAGTCATCTCCGAATTTAAATAGAGTTGTTAATTCTGGGCCGATAAAATATTACTAGCTTGAGAAATACGTTCATAAAAACAATTTCTACCGTTAAACCATCTGATTTTCTGCCAGCTTCTCTGCATCTCGCGAATCATTATTAATACTAATTCTACATTTATAATAAACATTCAAGAGTAAAATTTATCGAGAATTGTCAAGCAAGAAGTTTATTATAATTCGAAGACATAATCTTCCCGTTTCGAGGTTGCTCTTTGGCAAATGCAACGGGGATTTGATGCAGTTGCAGTCGATTGGTATATGCATAGCGTCCAGTCGAGCGTACGCGCACGAGTGAATTACTTCGCTCGTTATTAGCAATTAAAGGCTATTAATAGTG